TAACAGACTTTCCAAAACTTTTCCCTCAACTGATGTAAGACTAATGGGACAATTTTTATCACCACCCTTAAACAGAGGAGTTACATTAGCTAACTTCCAATCCTCTGGTACCTGCCCAAGATATTTTTCTTCCATAACACTTTTAAGGTTATTTCCATCAAAAATATATTCATAAATATAAATTGTGATATCCCACCTCCATTACCTTGCATTTGTTATAATTATCTGACATTTATTCACTCAACTCACCAAACAATCCAAATACTTTTATAAAACAGCAGCATCCTCCTCACAGCCAGCAACACCAAAAACTTTAATATCATCAGCATTTTAAATAATATATTGACCATTCCTTCACCTATGTCATTGATGTAAATCAAAAAGAGCAAATGTCCTAGCACTAATCCCTGAGGTATTCCACTTTTAACATTAATCCAGTTTGAAAAACAACTTGTCCAATATAAACTAGCTTTTTTTGTGAACTGATATAAAAAAATTTACTGCCAAAATACACCAAGGTCATTATTGTCTCCTTCGTCTTTACATGCTTTTCAAAGACTATAAACTGTTTACAGAAGACAACTTCTGAGGGCTTTTTTGAGCAACCCAAAGACGTAGAAGTCCATGGGAGATGTCTGAGTATGATACATCATGGATTCCCATTTTTATTTGAAATGCAGAGAAACTGGAATGCTTAAATAGATAAGTGGTTGTATACTTTGTACTAATACAGCCATATGTTATTAGCATCTTATATACTCAAAGATGGTATTTCCTCATGGTGTAGTAGTATTAGCATGTTAACCTGATAGCATGAAAAGTTTACCTTTGCCTTTTTCTTTACTCTCTGAATATTTACCTTACCATCACAGTTATAATCTGTAATCACTGTAAATCCCTTGGAAAAACTTTTGCAGCATGTTTTGTACCATTTTAAAGATATATCATTCACAAGATGAAGACAAATTGCCCAGACCTTTTTAGGCACTTAAGATGACATATCTTTTTCTAATGTGATTAACTATTTCAATTTGTTTAATACAACATACTGCTAACATAGCTTTTAATGGTTGATGTTGTGATCAATTATGTGTTCTGGTAGAAGCCTATGAACATGGCTCTTCTGTCACATTTGTTGACCTAAATCTTCAAAGATTACCCTGTTTACAGTTCCAAGGGAGGTTCCCACATTAGTTGCAATGGGCCACTTTGTTATTTAGTTACTTCTAGTGGCAACTGTTTACATTTGTTCACTGTTCCCAGTGTGCTACTGATATCCAGTCATGGAGTAACTTGTTTTTCCCTATTGCAATAATTTTTTTCCTTACTTTACCAATATGTTTTAATGCTACAGATATCTCTTTTCTCAAGATCCTAAAATTCCATGTGTTTCATGTTTTTATAATCATGTAATTTAGTCCTTCAAGAACAAGTCTACTTTAAGCACCACATACATTGAAAATCATCACATATAGCTAAATTACAACAAAAGCATCAGGAATTTTAATGTGTGTAGTCATAAGCCATGGAAAAGTAATTTTATATGGATAATGTAACATAGAATGTGAGCAATTCCTATAGTCTGTTAGTCTTGAAAGTTTGTTTTGATGCTGAATTATAACTACTTAATTTACCTTCACAACGAATGTTACATTTGATTCCAACACATCATATTGATCCCTTTATTTCACAGAAAAAAAGCAGTAGTTGCATATTTACTGTCTAAAAATGAATATTCGTCTTCAGGAATAAAAGAAGCTATATAAATCTAACATTAACAAATGACTTTAGAAGACATGATAAATATGTACTAAATGCAACATTCATCACCAAAACATATGATCTGTTTAAAAAAGGCTTTTACTGATAAGACTTACCTGACCCACCAACATAGACTCCACCCCAAGGACCAGCAGACATATTTTTCATTATAACAGGAAAGTTCTCTGTTCCTCTAGAAATCAGGGAACCTGTATTTGGAAGATGAAATCAGCATATCATTTTAAACACTCTAACTGACATAACTGTTTTAATAAATAATCTAATATTAAAAATATAATAAGATTGTAAATGCTCTGAAGTACACACTTCCTTACTTGTCTCTGGAATTTTTATAGACTTTGATTACTTGGTTTCTAAAATATAATAAACTTTTTAAAAAAAATTTCATCAGGCCGATAAACACTTTTTTTTTTAACAACAATCAGGCACTGAAGACTGTAAGCTATAAAATGAATATAAAACCATTGTCTAAGTCATATAAAGGTACAAAGCTGAATAAAAACTACTAATATAGACTACATGATTGTTTGTTTGTTTTGAATTTCACGCAAAGCTACACGAGAACTATCTGCGCTAGCCGTCCCTAATTTAGCAGTGTAAGACTAGAGGGAAGGCAGCTAGCCATCACCACCCACTGCCAACACTTGGGCTACTCTTTTTACCAACAAACAGTGGGATTGACCGTCACATTATAATGCCCCCATGGCTGAAAGGGCGAACATGTTTGGTGTGATGGGGATTCGAACCCGCGACCCTGAGATTGCGAGTCGAGCGCCTTAACCACCTGGCCATGCCAGGCAGTCTACATGAAAAGACATACTAGTGTGGAAGATGTTTGTGAATATATATCTAAATAACTTTATAATCATTAAACATAAATTTATCAAACATTTAAACAGCTATGAAGGAGATTGTTGGACAACTTAAATCTACATGGATTTTTGTCAGACATAATCATTGAGTACTGGGCAATCTTTGTTAAAAAAAAAGTTGCGAATCAAAGCTCTTGTTGCAGTCACTTTCTGCTTTTCATAAAGTCCCACCACCAACCCTGGAATATTATAAATAATTTAAATGCAGAATGTTTTTTAACTACTGTCAAGGTAATAAGCTTTAATAAAAATGTAAATTTATTCAAATCAAATCAGTTAAAAGTTGTTTAAAGTTGCAAAACAGTGTCTATCTCCATCATTGTTAACCCTCCCAGTGGCTCAATGGTACACCTGAAGGTTTCGAATGATAAAAACAGTTTCAACACTCATGGTGGGTAAAGCACAGATAGTCCATTATATAGTTTTTTGTTTAACAGCAAACAAAAATCATTACTGTTAATAAAAAATATTGGCTTTACTGTTTATCTAAACGAAAATGACTTTTCTTCCTTTAATACATAAAAAAAACATTAAAAAATTTTACTAACAAACAAAATCAGTTGAATTTTCTGTATAAAAAATTATTATTACTGGCTAGCCTTACAGATATTGTTAAGAATACATGTAAATATAAACAAAATCTGATGCTACATTCTAAAATTCTTACCAAGAAGAAAAATTCCTCTTCCTTCCTCAAAGAGTAACTCCACTCCATGATCCAGTAAAACCTCTGATGAGTAGCTGAGAAACACAAATAAAATTTCAAGAGAAACCATCAATATTTTATTAGAGAACTTTACAAAGTTATTACAGATAATCAAAGTCAAATTTAATAAAAATATACAACTGACTAATATGTATATTCTTGTCAGTATACTGTGAATTCATTAGCATTTATTACAAATTGACAAGTTTTCATTTAACTGTGTAAATGAATTAATGAAATATAACTGAAAAACAAGCCAGAGATGGGATATAGCTGTACAAATGCATCACATACATCATGGTTAAAATGTGAATAATTTAATCACATACTTTAGAGTTGCAGAGTGAACATTCATCCCACACATCCTAGTTGAACTGTGATCTTGTATTAAGGCACTTTTAGAGAATTCAAAAACTGAATATTGCATTCTGGCTCATTATTTTTTGGATGTTCTTACTGTGCTGAATTCTTTGATTTTTTATAATGTAGGAGATACACTCAAGGTAAATAACCAAAACATTTGAAGCATATGTTATAATTTTTTTAATTTACAATCAACAACAGATGCTATTATAAAGCAAACTATTGAGTAACCTCAGCATATTAAGTAAATTAAACAGTGATCATAAGCTGATCACACACTACAGCAATTATATCATGACTATATGTTAGAATATTAGTCAATACCCCTTGTATCATTATTAGATATCTTACTTACTTAACAAGAATACTATAGTTCAGAAGACATGGGCTATCCTCCATCAAAACATGTATGTTCTGGTTCAAAACTCCACCAAGACCACCACAAACACTAACTTCGGTTGTTTCTCCAGTCAACAGTTGTGTTGAAATATTTCCATCTACTGGTCTTACTGCTAAGGCTGGCCACAGCAATAGCATTGAGCGAGTAACATTTTTATGAAAGTCGCAGACTCTGCTTAGAAAAAGTAAATATTAGTATCAATAGCACTGTTATTTTAATAAGCAGTAAAGTGTATGAGGTACAATAAAGAACATATAGAATAATTCGGTCAATCATGCAATCATAAAATAAATCTTCATAATCATAAAGAGTTTTGTACATATGTACAACAAAAATGATACATAAGCAACCAAAAAAGTAGTGTGTCTATCATGGGTACCTGCATAAACTATTCACTCTACTGTGGGGTTCAAAGTTCCCAAGGTACTGATCAAGCTCTTCCATTATTCCCAATTATTTCTATTGTTACCCCAAAGAGTGTTCATACCACAAAAAACAACAAAAAAAAACATACAATAAAATAGATTTGTGCGAAATGTGTCATAAGGATGGGTAGAATAGTGTTACGACAGTGGGGGGTCGCTACGACAGCGGGGTCATGTGATGAATATTCTAGAAGATTCGCTAGTGTGTTGCAACAGTGTTGCGTCAACTGACGCTGGTAGCACGTGTTGAGAGTCTTAGAAGTTTCTAGAACAGGCAGTATTATTGTATATAAGTGCGCTAGACAGTGAGAGAGACAGACAGAGTAGAAGCAATAGTGGAGACAGAGACGTAGTGGAGACGAAGCAGGCAGAGAGAAAGAAAGACAGCAGTTATGGTCGGCGGGAACTGAGGATAGCAGACACAGAGATCGGAACTATAGTTTGCGGGGACGGACAATTAAGTCTAAGCGCGATAGAAAGTGAGGGAATTGTTGTGAACTATAGTGTGTGTAACTGTGAAAATTAAGTACATTACAAAGTTGTATTGAGGAAGAATAAACAAGTTTTATAAAGAAAGGACTTGTATCATAAAAGAATTAACAAACAAACATACAGAGACGTAACAAATTGGTGTCAGAAGTGGGATAGAAAATAAAAGAAGAAGAAGATGAAAACAAGAGGCGGAAAATCAAACTACAGCTTAGCAGATTTGATGGCAGCAATACAAGAACAGCAAAAGAAACAAGAAGAACGAGAAAATAAACAAGAAAAGAAACAAGAAGAGAGACAACAGCAGTTGCAAGAAAACCTGCAACAGTGGCAGCTCGACCATCAAAATAAACAAGAAGAGAGACAACAGCAGTTGCAAGAAAACCTGCAACAGTGGCAGCTCGACCAT